ATGGCTTACCTGCCCCACGACAGGGCAGAAGATATCATTTCCTTAGCCACCCTCGTCCGTACCCAACCCTCCGTCACTGCCTTCCAGATTCAGAGGCTGCTAGGCCTGATAGCCGCAATGACGTCGGTCCTCGTCTTTGCAAGACTCAAAATGCGCCCTTTACAGCTCTGGTTTATTATCTCCTTAGCCCCCCTCGGCCGTACCCAACCCTCCGTCACTGCCTTCCAGATTCAGAGGCTGCTAGGCCTGATAGCCGCAATGACGTCGGTCCTCGTCTTTGCAAGACTCAAAATGCGCCCTTTACAGCTCTGGTTTATCTGCAACTACGATCTGTCGAAAAACGCACACAATGTCGTCCTATCCCCTCTTCCCAGCATACAGGACTCTTTAATTTGGTGGACTGTCCCTTCGAATATCTTCCAGGGAGCGCCCTTCCACCCTCAGTCACCTGAGGTCACCATTATGGCGGATGCTTCCCTGACGGGATGGGGTGCACACTCCATGGGCTTTTCTGTTGGAGACAAGTGGAACACGCAGATGAGGAAGCGACACATAAAATTCCTAGAACTCCTGGCTATACAACATGCTGTCACCAGTTTCCTCCCCTTAATCAAGGGAAAATGTGTCACGGTTCTGATGGACAGCACCACAGCGCTTTCCTACGTCAACAGACAGGGAGGCACTGTTTCCCTACGCCTATGCAACCTTGCAATCCAGTTGTGGGACTTATGCATCGCCAACAATATATTCCTTGTGGCCACTCACATTCCAGGACACATGACCATCCAGGACACATTCCAGGACCATTCCAGGACACAGACCATCCAAGTCGAGCGGGACTCAGCCTTCACGAGTGGGGGATGAACCCAACATACCTCCTCCCACTATTCCACAAGTGGGGAGTTCCCCAAGTCGATGTCTTTGCAAGCAGAAACAACAAAAAGTGTCCTCTGTTCTGCAGTCGAGGAGGCAAGGACCCACAATCTCTGGGAGACGGTCTCCTTTACCCTTGGTCATCGGGACTTCTCTACCTGTTCCCCCCCTTACCCCTGCTTCTGAGAGTGGTCCGCAAAATTCTCAAAGACAACGCAGACTGTATCTTAATAACCCCATGGTGGCCGAGACAACCTTGGTTTTCAGCAGTCCACGGGTTATCACAGGGCATATACCATCACTTCCCCCCGGCTCAGGACTTCCTCCTTCTCTCAGACTCCCCTGTCCTACATCACAACATACCACAGTTGAAACTGACGGCGTGGCAGTTAACATCACCGGCTTCTCCTCCCGCGTAGTGAATGTCCTTTTGAATTCCAGGAACCCTACTAATGCAAGTCCTACGATTATAAATGGAGAAGATTCTGTTCTTCTCTAGGTGATGACGCCCCTCGAGCCACCTCAGTGGATCTCGAAAGAGTTTTCCGATCCTCCTCTCCTTAGCTGACTCGGGACTTTCCCATTCGTCGTTAAGAGTTTATTTGGCCGCTCTCTAGGCCTACCATGTTCCAATTGACGGATGCACTTTGTTTTCTCATCCGATTTCCAAACGGTTTTTAAAAGGTTTATTATACCTCTACCCTCCTGTCAAAACTCCAGTCGCTCCCTGGGACCTTCCTGTAGTTCTACGCCAGCTCACGAGGAAGCCCTTCGAGCCACTTGCAACATGCAACCTCAAACTCCTCGCATGGAAAACTGCGTTTTTAATTGCCATTACCTTGGCTAGGCGAGTGGGAGAAATATTGCCTTTCCGGCATGATACACCTTTCCTGTCCTTTCTCCCAGATGGAGTCCGCCTCGTTCCGGACATCTCTTTCCTCCCGAAGGTGGTGTCAGAGTTCCACCTGCAGGCGGAGGTCTTCCTCCCTGACTTCTTCCCAAACCCAACGTCAGCGGAGGACAGATTATTACACACCTTGGACGTGAAGCGGGCTCTCCTGTTCTACCTCAGTAGAACACATCCAACTAGACGAGACTCACAACTATTCGTCTCGTACGCTCCAGCATGACTGGGTACGCGCATCACGGCCCAGTGCCTGTCAAAGTGGATTGTAGGTCTAATCCATCTATGTTACCTACTCGCCAAAGAGCCATTGCCTGGTCATATCAGGGCTCATTCTACCAGGGCTGTCACAACTTCCACTGCCTTCCTCCAGGGAGTACCACTGCCGGACATTTGCAAAGCCACTACCTGGGCCACGCCTAACACCTTCATCAGGCACTACGCCCTAGACGTCCGTACCAACGCCAATACCAACATGGGACGTCACATTCTGTCTTCCGCTACACAGTAAAAGACCTGCCAGCACCCTCCTCCAGGTAGGCTACTGCTCGCTAATCTCCCATGGGTGTGAAGCACAGAGACCACGTCGAAGATAAGCAGGTTGCTCACCAGTAACTGGTGATCTTCGAGTGGTCATCTGAGCATTCACACCAACCCCCCATCTTCCCTGTTGCTGTCAGCTTCTACATTTTTGAATAGGGGTTGATTTGCGGCGGTTTGTAGGAACTGGCGGGATGTCCGCGCCCACCCCTCTGGGCATGCGCGGTGGGGTTCCTACGCATGCCCGAGGGACTGGGCGCGAAAATCCGTTAAAAGAGCTTGCTACAGCACCGATCGATCCAGCGCGTGCGCACTAGATCCTATGGGTGTGAATGCACAGATGACCACTCGAAGATCACCAGTTACTGGTAAGCAGCCTGCTTTTGCAGGTGCCGAGGCTGCTTTAGAGGATCTTTAGAGAAGATGCTTTCATGACACGGATCAGGGGAACCTGCCTGCTGGTCTTAAAATGGTCCGGCAAACGCACGCTTCTTGCCCTCTCTTCCCCTTCCCCCTCTCCCTGGTGACAGTGCTGTTGTCACCCATTCTTTGCAATAGTTCTCTTTTCTCCCGGTTGCCTGAAATACCCATCTCGGTGGCCGAGGTGGACCAGGAGTGTGGATTAGAGCCGTTGATGAATAGCATCCTTTGTCCACTGGCTGTTTGCAGCTATGAGCTGACCAGGCTCTTCAGCCAGAGAGGGCCAACCTTCCCCCCCCCCCCAACAAAACTGCTCGGTTTTGGTGGACTAGCACGTGGTTTTCCTGTTGTCGGCCTTGAAGCCACTTGGCCAAAGAGCCTGGCATCTCACTCTGCTTGTGCCAAGTCAGCGGGCCCTTAGGAGGCCCAAGCGTCACCAGTTTGGAAATAGTGCTTCTGGATGAAAAGCCACGCCCAAAGATGCTGTGCTGCTTCTGCTCTGGCAAGCGTCCCTCCTGGCCTGAAAGGAGAGAGCACCTCCATTTCTGGAGTAGAAGAGATTGGATTTGTACCCTGCCCTTCACTACCCGAAGGAGTCTCAGAGCGGCTTACAATCTCCTTTCCCTTCCCCTACCCACAACAGACACCCTGTGAGGTAGGTGGGGCTGAGAGAGCTCCTTCGAGGACTGCTCTCGAAAGAACAGCTCTGAAAAAACCCGAGACTGACCCAAGGTCACACCAGCAGCTGCATGTGGAGGAGAAGAAGAAGAAGAAGAGATTGGATTTATACCCCGCCCTTCACTTGGAGTCTCAGAGCAGCTTACAAACTACTTTCCCTTCTCCTCCCCCCAACAGACACCCTGTGAGGTGGGTGGGGCTGAGAGAACTCTGACACAAACTGCTCTTTTTCAAGGACAGCTGTGCCAGGGCTTGTGACTGACCCAAGGTCACATCAGCAGGTGCAAGTGGAGGAGCGGGGAATCAAACCCAGTTCTCCCAGATTAGAGTCCGTGCTCCTAACTACTACACCAAACTGGCTCCTAACCACTACACCAAACTGGTAGCACATCTCTTTATTGGGAACGCCTGCTTCTGGTAGCAGCTCCCCCCTCCTGGCTTTGGTTCCTCCCCCCGCCCCCGTGAGAAGCAGCAAGCTTGTTGTGCCAACCTTACATGATAGTGGTCTATAAAATTGCGATCGGTGTGGAGAGAGTGGACAATACTTCTTGAGCCCCGGGGGTCACCCACTGAAGCCGGAGGGTGGGGGATTCAGGAGAGACAAAAGGAAGTACTTCTTCACACAGTGCGCAGTTAAGTTACGGAACTCTCTGCCGCAGGACGTGGTGAGGGTTGCCAACTTGAAAGGGGAGTGGACAAATCCATGGAAGAAGGGGAGCCTAGTAGTCAGGACGGAGGTCTAGTCCCTCCGGTTCCAGAGGCAGAGTGAGGCCTCTTTGTATCGGTTGCTGTGGGGAGCACGCGGGAGGGGGCCGTTGCCATCCTTCTGCTTCTGGTCTCCCGAGAGGCAGCTGGCCGGCCCCTCTGTGCAAACAGAATGCTGGGCGTGGTGGGCCTCGGGCCTGATCCAGCAGGGCTCTTCTTAAGTTCTTAACTTTCACATACTGTTGAAAATGTTGACCTAGTGGATGTTTTGTACTTTTTAAAAAAGGTGACCCTGTTATTTGTGTGAGTTGCTGAGAGGGAGGCTGAGTGAAGGAGCCGTAGAAATTGAGCTACTGGGGAAACTTTGGGGGGGGGACGGGACGGTATGCTGGAGAGTTCGTTGAGAGCAGAGGACTTTGCACCGCTGTCTCCAGACCTCACTGGAAATCGCTGGGCATTGTCCTTTTCCCTCTCCCGCCCTCGGGTGGCATCAGTGGCGGCCTCTTCCTAGCCTTGCCCGGACGCTGTCCTGCGGGGAGGTTCCCGATCCGCCTGCGAGCCTTTCTCCTGCTCCTTCCCTGTTGCCACCAAGAGGCCTTGAAATCCTGTTTCTTCTGACAGAACCGGATGGAGGAGAGCAAAGCCCTGTTCCGGACCATCATCACCTACCCCTGGTTCCAGAACTCGTCTGTCATTCTTTTCCTCAATAAGAAAGATCTGTTGTGAAGGGGGGGGGGGAGTCAAGGGCTTCTCCCCCCCCCGCCCACCCCGCTGCAGCACTGTTCGGCAAGCAGCTTCAGCAGTCTCGAAGAGAGGGAGGGGCCAGACAGTTTTTGTGCAGTTGCCACAACTAAAACCTCAAGGGGTTCTTCTCCAGTCCAGGGGGGGGCACCTTTAAGATCAACAGAGTTTGATTCTGGGTATAAGCTATATGCACACAGAAGCTTGTACCCAGAATTAAACTTTGTCGGTTTTAACTCGAGGGGCTCTGGGGCAAGGGATGCTCTGTCTTCTTGGTGCTTGGGGGGGGCAACAGTGGGAGGGCTTCTAATGTCCTGGAGCCACTGGTGGACCTCCTGATGGCACCTGGTACTTTTGGCCACTGTGTGGCAGAGTGTTGGACTAGATGGGCCTTTGTCCTGATCCAACATTGGCGTCTCTTATGTTCTTATAACGCTCAAACAAGCATAGAGGAAGACGGGCGTCACAGAAGCACCAAACTGATTTAAAAATGCAAATGCAGATTCGACCTATGTTTTAAAAAGAGCGGGGGTCTCATCTTGTCTAACCCCCCCCCCCCCCCCCCCGCCCCTCCCCAACTCTCTTTTCCAGAGATGGAGAAGAGAGTGCAGAAAATGTGACTGACCACCTGGTTGGTTCAGGGAGGCAGAACGTTCGTCGTCTGCAGACTGCTGGGCTGCGGAGAGCAGACCAGAGACACATTGTGGTCCTCCTATCCCCCCAGCATAGTTGGTGTGGGAGCTGTGTGTGGGGGGAGGAAGGGGCTCAGGGCACCCCCCCTCCCCACTTCCTGATCTGAAACGGTGGGGCAAAGAGTAGATCCCTGGAACAGTTTCAGGTCAGGAGAAGGGTTGGGGGGGGGGGGAGGCCTTACGTTGTCCATGTTTCTCGGCTCCAGTGTGGATCGGACCTGTGTATGCCTAGGAATTTTAATTCCCAGCCCAAATCTCTAGATCTGTGTGCCTGACGGACAGGACCTCTGGTGGCCGCGTGGGGTGGGGGCGGCAGGGCACAAGGATTTTAAAAAGTGTAGTCTGGTGCTCTCTTAGTCGTCGTCAGAGGCCCTCCTGCGTTGGCTGCCCATCTGAGCCATTGCTGCTGCCGCCGCTGTAACAAGTGGAGATCTGTAGCAGTTCTCCCAAGGCAGAGAGGCTAAACATGGCCGAGGCCAATTAACTCTGTCCCCCAGTTGCTGCCAGAGCGACTCGCAGCTGACGGGATCCCTCCTGCTAAGGAAGGGAGCAGCCGAGGAGCAGCCGGTTCTGATGAGCCACCCGGAGACGAGATCTTGTTCCTCCGTCTAGTCAGCAGCCGGCTTTCCTGCTGGGAACCGCCTAACTCTGATCATGGTTTGTCCCCACCCCCCGTTGTGTGCTGCAGGCCCCCAGAGAGACGCTCAGGCGGCCCGGGAGTTCATCCTCAAGATGTTTGTGGATCTCAACCCCGACAGCGACAAAATTATCTACTCTCACTTCACGTGTGCCACAGATACGGAGAACATCCGTTTTGTCTTTGCTGCCGTCAAGGACACCATCTTGCAGCTCAACTTGAAGGAATATAACCTCGTCTGACCTTGATCGGCCTGCCCTCTCCCCTGCACTCTCCCCCTCTCTCCCACCTCCTCGGGAGACCTTTTTTTGTCGTGAAGAAAGTAAGACGAGAGAACCCCATGGATTAACAAAAAAAAATGTACAGGAAAAAAACAACCCCAAAATCTTAATTTTTAATGATGTAATGATTGCAAATTGTCTGATCTGTGGAGTGGCAAGTTCTTTTTGCTCACTGTTTCCTTGGGACTCTCACGTCTGCCCCACAGAATAGCTGATTTATTATTATTATTTTTTAAAAAACCAGATTTGCTTTTATTTCACAGTTTAAGACATCGACTGGGGGACACATTTTGCACTCTTCTCTGGCACCTTGTTTCATTTCCTGCTTTCTTTGCCAAACAGTCAGGGTGGCTCCATGTGGCGTTAGCCGACTCTCGCTGTTCTTTCTGTTCCAGTGGTAGAGATCCCAGACTTTCCAGCCAAGGTCGTGTTTTCACTAGACTTAATGGGATCCTGGTCCTTTCCATCCTGTGCCATGGGGTTTCTTGGGTGTGATCTGCTCACTATGCCACCTTTCTCCCCTGGGGCTGCCTCTTCCCGAAGGCGTCACTCCAGGTTTTGCCGATGCCGTCTTGGGAGGAATGGGCGCTCTCCAACAATCACGCAAAACAAAACAAGCCATCTTCTCTCCTCCCCCCCCCCCTTTCCCGTTCTTTGTGCCATTTCAGTCAAGATTCTTTATTTTTTATTTTTCAATTATGAAAGTTACATGGAGACTGTGATTTTTTTTTTAAAGATTATTCTATACATAGTGTGCTACATATGCTGTGTTTTTTTTGTTCATAGATTACAAACCGAGCAATAGCTAATGAGCCTGGGGAAGTGCCTGATTGTGTTTTGTTTTGTTTTTAATTTTAAAGAAAAAAAGTAAGCTCACTTTAGCAAAATCCTCACCCAGCGTGAGACGCAAAGGTGTCCTAGGGGATGACGTCTCTTAGGCAGTGAAGCTAGAATTGTGCCGCAAGTTTCAGTCCTGGCTCTGTCTCCTCCTGCTTCCTGTCCAGCCTTTCCCCCGCTCTTTGGAAATGTTATGCCTGCGGCGTGGAAGCAGAAGGGAGCCATCTTGGATTACATGGCCCTCGGCTCGCATGAAGAGAAGCTGCTGTTGTCCCGCCCACCCGCCAACTTTGAAAGACTTCGTCCCCACAGAAGCACTTGCACAAGTATTCCTCCCGGGGCCACGGAGAGCGGCACCTGCCGGGTCGAATCCAGATTCAGTGGATCTGCTTTGGAAAGGTGGGGAAGTCACTGAGACAGCAACAGCCCTGAAGCGTGCGGGATAGAGAAGGCGCGTGATCTGGATCCCTGGTGCCAAATGAATTCCGGTAAAACGTGCTTGAAGCCAAATAGGAGACGGTGCCAAAAACCTTCTGCTCATCTGTCGGCAAGATCCACTGCAGTGGGGCAAAAAAAAAGTCCTTGCGGAAGGAAAGGTGGGGCTTTTTCTATCTGCCCTTTTAGGCTTGTGGCGTTCGGGCGGCATTCATGTGATCCAAGGACAGTGAACAGCCAGTTTCTGAGATGGCCGCTTGAAACTTTATTGTTTTCTTTCTTTCTTTTTTTTTATAACAAAAAGCCTGCTGCTAAGGGTGTGCATCATATATGCTTTTCTCTCATGTAGAGCAACACTAGGTGAATTTCCTTGCACAAGGTGCATTTGGGATTCCCCCCTCCTCTTTTTCCTTGGTGCGTTTTGGTCTCTTAACACTAAAATCTCAGCTGTGCCCTGAAATGGCAGCATTCTTTGGGGGGGGGGGGGGCGCCATCAGGATTCATGGGACATTACAGCAGCAAGCAGGCGCGAGTCACACTGAGAAGGGGATTCCTTGGGATTTTGCACATCTGGCGTGCAGTCGCGTTCCTAAAATGGCGATGCCAGCAAGTAGGAACACTTGGGCCTTCAAGAGGTCCTGTTAGGTCGATGAGGAGGAGGGTGTGGAGCAGTTGTTGCTGCTTGGTAGAATAACCAACATTCCTGATATGTGTTCTAAGTTTTTTTTTTGGGGGGGATGATTGGGGGGGGTTTTCCTTCAAAGGTTTCGCAGGGATCACGTTTCTGCCAAAAATGACGTTCGTTCTGTTCTGCGGGAGAAGTTCTGTTCTAACGTGCCATGACTTCCTGTCAGCGTCACCCGGAGTCCTCGGGCTGCAGGTCCCTCCTGCCCACCTCCACCTGCACAGTGTCCACGCCAGGCATCAGACCTGTAGAGCCAGGAGCTGAAGAGCAGGCCGCTCCAACCTTTTGACTCGGAGCAGCTGTGGTGTGGGCCCTCAGGCCCGGCCTGGGTTTGGCGCATCGATTCACTCTCATTTGTTGAATGAGCCACCGTTGTTGGCGGAGGAGGATGTTCTCACGGTTCTGAGTTGCCACCGCTGGACAGGAACGGGCTTGACACAGAATGGGGAGGAGATGACGATTGACTGAGCATACCCGAGCGAGCGATTCTCGGTTCTCCAGCCCTCTTTGCATGTGTCGTTTTTTTCAGCGGGCAGCCGTTTGCTCGCACTAAATACCAAATCCTCCTTGGTTTTTTTTCCTTCCTTGTTGTACTGATGGGGCCACTTAAGGTTTGGGGACTGCGGGATGCCAAGGCAACACAGTATTTTTTGAAATTATGCACGCATTGTGGAGGAGCGTGGAGCTAAGGTGAGGGGAAGCCATCAGTCAGCCAACAGTGCACTGTAAGGATCAGGGAAGGCCTGCTGAAGAGACAGGATCCTGCTCTCCAGACCTTCACCGTCACCTTGCCGTGCGCGATTGCAAACGCATCATTCCATTTCCTTGCAGAACTTCGAAATGATTGGCCAATATAGTGAGCAGTTGCCCCCCCTCCCCTTTTGGACATGTCTTCCCTTCCCTTGAATTTAATTCTTTCGTCTGTCATTGCCTTCAATTGTGTGTGTGTGTGTGTGTTTTTCTTACACGTTTTTATTACTACTTTGAAAATGTGCTCTCGTTTGGCGTGCGCGCTCTGGCCATTAATTGTATTGTGCTTCACAGAAACGAAGGTTGTTTTTTTGAGTCCAGCAGAGGTTAAAGTCTGTAACTCTCAGTACTCCGTATGTGTGCGTGCGCGTGTGTGTGTGTGTGTGCGTGTGTGTGTGTTTTTTTTAAGCGTTCTGGTTTGTGCCAATACCCCTCCCTCCTTTCTTTCTTTAGAACCAGAGACTCTTTTACAAAAGTGCCAGTGTGGTGGAAATTTTATTTGGTTATACTTGTATATTATAAGAGATCCTGATTTAAAAGAGGGGGGGGGGAAGAACCATTTAAACAATTATCCTATTTAAAGAAAGAAGGAAAAATACTATATAAAATGCTGTTTTTAAAACCTTTTTTGTCATTTTGAAACTGCATGTGATGTTATGCGTATGGGTGGGGGGGAGGGGGGGTTCCGAAGGGGGTGGCCTGTGATTGAGCTTTTGCCCATCTTGTCTCTCTCTCCAGTATGTGAGGCAGAAATGGGGGTTCTCGGGGTGCTGCAGTTCTCTCGTCTGCTGGGTGCTGACCCTCATTGTTAGAAGTACCTGATGGAAATTGATTTTCATATCTTTCTCCTGAAATAAATTGTTTGAAATTGGAATAAAATTTGTTCCTTTAAAAAAAAAAAAATACACCTGTGGTCTTTGTTCTTTCTTCTGGATTTTCAGCGGCGGCGACACAATCCCTGTGTTTGGCTCTGAACATTTCGATGGTTCGTAAAGTCAGTGTGAATCTAGAAGTGCCTAGTGGTTCTATACCACTTTTTAATTTCTTTCTTTCCAGAAAATAAAAGCACCAAAACACACACACACACACAGAAAAAAACCGAAAATCCAGCATGGGTGTTGAACTCATTTGTCACGAGGGCCGCATCCGACGTAAATATCACTTTGTCGGGCCGGGCCATGCGTGCCATAAAATGTAACACGAAATATTAGAGAGTTCTTTCTGTTACACTCATGGCCCCGCCCAACAAAGTGACATTTATGTCAGATCTGGCCCTCGTAACAAATGAGTTCGACACCCCTGTAATAGATTTTTTTTTTTTTTAAGGAGAAAAAGGTGTAAGTGAAGTAGAGGCAAAAATGTAACGGTGGCAGATCGACACATAGGTTTCTATAAAAGGTTTCCAAATACATAAAGAAGTCTATATGTCATATGCGATGTATTCAAGTACTGATAGAGTAGTTGTGGATGAGTCCTTGTTGTGGATGAGAGGCCATGACCGTTATGGGCAGGGGTCATTTCCTGCAGGAGCGCACAGGAGCGGAGCTCCGGCAGTAAAGAGCCCAGGGGGCGAGAGCATGCAACAAGCCCCACCCCCTGCTCCCAGCAGCCCTCAGTCAGAGCAAGAAGCAGCCAGGTAAGTTGCAGAGCCCCCCACCCCACCCTGGCTCCCCAGCCCAAAACAGTCCAGTGGCGCCTTTAAGACCAAGTTTTATTCAGGTAGAAGCTCTCCCTCCTCTGCGAGGACAGATCTGCTCATTCCCCCCCCCCCAATAGCTAGCAATCCAAAACAGCCCAGGTGATCTGCTCATTCCCCCCCCCCCAATAGCTAGCAATCCAAAACAGTCCAGTGGAGCCTGAGCGGTGGGTGTTGCCTTCTGATGCCAGGGGGTGTGGCATATGCAATAAGTTATGCAATAATGAGCTCCTGCACCTCTTTTTCTACGAAATGACCCCTGGTTATGGGTATGGAAGGGCACACTGGCCATCTCTGTGACTGGGACAATGTGGGAAAGGTGCTCTTCAGCAGACAGAGAGCATCCTTTACAACCAACAGAGAACAAATTTGGAGTCCATTGGCACCTTTAAGACCAACAAAGTTTCATTCTGGGTATAAGCTTTTGTGTGCATGCACAGGAAAGCTCATACCCAGAATGAAACTTGGTTGGCCTCAAAGATGCCACTGGATTCAAACTTTGCTCTGTTTCAGACCAACACGGTGACCCACCCAACAGAAGAAACATGCTAGCTGTTTGAGGTGTTAACAGCTCTCAGCTGGAGGGGTTCATGTTCTGGCGGGCTTGAGCCTTAAGCCCGGGTGCCCAGGTTGACTAAGGCCCATACAGGGAGGGGTCTGAGGAGAGCTGTTCCCTTTGTTTTGGGGGTTGGTTGGTGGAGCTGTTGGGTTGTCTTCCTGAGGTTGACTTGCCGGTGTTGGCGGTGAAGGATGACAGAGGGGAGTGACGCTAAAGGTACTTGCAGGTGTGCCTAAGGTGGGGGCACCCTGCAAGCAACAAAGACCAGGTATGCCATGGAGCGTAAGTGCCTAGTCAGTAACTTTCCTTTTTCCTTATTCCTTTCCTTATTCAAGATGTGAGCTTTTGCGTGCACGCACACTCCATCAGACGGTGAAATGGAATTACATATAGTTGTATATATAGGGATGGCTTGTTAAATTAGCGTGCAAAATAGTGAAAATATTTTGAAAACTATTTTGCTTGCTACTTCAACCAGCCGCTTGTTAAATTAGCGTGCAAAATAGGATGGCTTGTTAAATTAGCGTGCAAAATAGTGAAAATATTTTGAAAACTATTTTGCTTGCTACTTCAACCAGCCGCTTGTTAAATTAGCGTGCAAAATAGGATGGCTTGTTAAATTAGCGTGCAAAATAGTGAAAATATTTTGAAAACTATTTTGCTTGCTACTTCA